TCCCTGGAGCCTTCTCTTCTCCAGGCTGAACAGCCCCAGCTCTCTCAGCCTGTCCTTATAGGAGAGGTGTTCCACATCTTGGATCATTTTTGTGGCTCCTCTGGATGGTTCCAACAGATCAATGTCTCTCCTGTACTGAGGACTCCACATCTGGAGTGGTGAGGTCTCACCAGCACAGAGTAGAGGGGCAGGATCACTTCCTTCATCCTTGCTAATTCCTTGACCAAGCTACTTTTGATGTAGCCCAGGATAGGGTTGGCTTTCTGGTCTGTGAGGGCACATGGCTCACTCATGTCCAGCTTCCCATCTACCTGTATCTTCAGGTCCTTTTCGGCAGGGCTGTGCTCATTCTTTTCATCCCCCAGCTTGTATTGGTAGTGAGGGTTGCTTTGACCCAGGTGCAAGACCTTGCACTTGGATTTATTGAACTTCACGTGGTTCACTTGGGCCCACTGCTCAAGCCTGTCTAGGACCCTCTGGATGGCATCGTGTCTCTCTGGTGTGTCAACAACACCCCACATCTTGGTGTCATCAGCAAACGTGCTGATAATGCCTTCAAGAAATACAGTTTAGGAAAAAGTAACAGGAGACTGTACGGTTAGTGTAACCAGGAGGGATTGTAACCATAGATTAGATACAGACTATACCATCTTTTCAAATTTTGCAGGTAAAATTCAGGGTTTTTTTTCCTGCTGGTGAAATTGAAAAGTTTATTAAAAATTGAAGTTATTAAAGTTTCATCATGGAAAACCTTGAGAATTTTTCTAAATAATATCCATATTACCACTGCTTATAAAACGCAATAGAACAGAAAAGCTAAAAACTAAGGACACTTTTTTATATGGATTTTTAAGTCAATATCAGTAACCAACTCATCTTTCCTTAGTCTGTGTCACATACTACTAATAAAACTAATTTGTTTTCTATTTTGCTTTCACCTCTGAAATAAAAGCAAACTTTAACTTCCCCTAGGGAATGAAAGATCCAAGTTGCACTCAGTGTCACACATGTCACTCAAGAGTGCCTAAGATAAAATCCTAAAATTGCAGAGCACATTTCTGAGCGCAAGGAGATGGGTTGCACAACCTCAGAGCTCACTTTATGTGGCCAGAGTCTAGTGAGAAGTAAAAGTGCAATTTTCATAAATACATAAACTACTTCTCTTTAGACTGCTGCTTGTTCTTATAGTTTTACACCAACTAAGCACTGAACAGAGCAGGAATGGCCTAGGCACCCAGAAGTGTTGAGAAAGTCTCATGATGTTGGAAAATGTTAAGTAAAGTGGAAAAGCTTGGACAAAAATATGTCTCAGAAAGTCAAATCTGAAATGAATACAAAGATCTGGGAGGAGAAAGCCTCTGGATGTGGGTGCACACTCACAGTGTTACTAACATCAACAGCTGTTCTTTGTTCTTGTTGAAGTATGAAGAAAGTATGTTTATGGATAGATGTAATTAATGTACAACTCCAGCTGTTTAAAAGGGAACATGGAGTTACCTTGCATATCCTTAACAAGTCATTTCTTGTGAAACAGCTGAACCTGGATGTCCTTATCCACAGGAGAGCCAGTGGTTAGTGTACTCAGAGCTAGTCAAACAAATGTGAGCTAAGGTCACCTTAGCTCTGAATGGGAGCTTCTGTCCAGGCATTTAGTTCCACTTATTAAACCCATTTCCGTTTCAGACCTTTCTTAGCCTTAGATTCTTCTCATCTCCTGATATCCTGTGGTCAGGGTGGAGACAGGAATAGCTCACTAACTTCAGTGAGTGAAATGCCATTTAACCACAGCCTTCTTTATCATATTTGTCCAAATTTAGTAACACCCATCCTATTGCAGCTTCAATGTTAACATTTAATTTGTGACCCTTACTCACTTTATTAGTGTATGATCAACAGCTTTGGTTTCCAGCCTGCTCTAGCTGTCTGAGGTTTTCTCATGACATACTATGCATTTATGGTATTAGGGTCTTTGATAAGACTAAAGGAATTAAAGGTAGACTTTTAATGAGAGAAGCAGAAACCTTGTTTGATAATATGCATATAAATTCAGAACAAGCTGGAGATGAGATTATGATCAAGACAGCTGAAAAACGTCATTCTTCTAGATGAAAAAAAATTTGCAAGATCTTGTGATGATGACAAAAATATCACATGAGAACTCAAAAAGGAAGAAAAAAAGAGGAGGTTTTGAGAACAGAGTTGTGACTGTTGAATCAACTGTGTCATTTGGAGGACTTACGGAATCCTTAATTTGAGGTAAAAATTGTAACAGAGAGCCAAAAGAAATAACAAGATTGCAGAAAAGATTCTAACTTCAATTTGGGAAAGGCAATTACAGCATAAGTGGAGAACATCACTTGCTGATTGAAAGCTCTGAAGGAAAGCAGATCCCGTTCAATGGATTGAATTACTCAAAAGAGCAAGTTGAAGAAAACTGAAACCTCAAAAAAGAGCAGGCAAGCTGTACATGAATGTTTGAAGCAAGGAGAGTGAGGGACTGCATGACAAATGGAAGGAAATAACCCAAACTGATATTTAACAAAATAATTTTACAAAAGCCTTCAGAAAAGACAGAATATACTAAAGATGTTCTAAAATACATTACTTCTACACAAGCAAGCATAATTTGTTTTGAGAATGATTCACAATATAAACTGAGCAGTTTTTCACCAGTAACACTGCCAGATCCCTTGTAGGTTTTAGTTTGATGCTACTGCACAGATCAGTCTGATAAGTGATATACAGTATTGAGGATTAAGGCAGAACCACCCCCATCAGTGTTCAGCACAGACAGGGGACGGTTCATAACGAGGTGGCATGCAGGCTGGAGAAGTTGGGTCAGGCTGCCCAGGCTCTTCCCTGCAAGAACAGTATTACCTAAAAAAAATACATCTTTGCTTTTAGTAAAATCTCCACTTCTTAGATTAAGAAAACTCACTTTGGATAGGAGGATTGATGCTTACACATAAGTCTCTCCTGGCCATGTCCTTTGTTCTCCTTGGGTTTCTCTTGAAAGGTTGTTCTGTTTCTTCCTTAGGCCTATCCAATATCTTCATAGTCTTGGCAAATGCTGCAACCTAGCAAAAGCCACAGCCTCTGTATCCATCTATGCCCTGGGTTGCTCCTGAAGGAAGGGATAAGGAAAGAGCCCAGGGGTGAGAACCACATGCAGACAGTCTTCTTTTTAGATCATAAACATACCTCTGACAATCAAACCAAAACGAACACCACTTGCCATGGTGTAAAAGCTGAGCTAAAGCAAAACTTTTTAAAATAGAAGTTTGGATTTACTTTAGGAGAAGCACCTGTAGCCTATAATACAATATCACTGGATGAGTAAAGATCAGAACAGTGGGGGAAGGGGAAAAAAAAAAAGAAAGAGAAAGAAAGAGAAAGAGAAAGAGAAAGAGAAAGAGAAAGAGAAAGAGAAAGAGAAAGAGAAAGAGAAAGAAGAAAAAGGAAAAGGAAGAGGAAGAGGAAGAGGAAAAGGAAAAGGAAAAGGAAAAGGAAAAGGAAAAGGAAAAGGAAAAGGAAAAGGAAAAAAGAAAAAGAAGATTAAAATACAGAAATTACAAAAGAAAACGCAAAACGCAAAATATCCAACATATAGACAGATGTCATAAAGAAAACAATGCAAGCTAAATTGCTCTGAATAATGTTGTAAGGAAGAAGCAACTTAAAAAGACTAAAATACTCGGAAAGAATCAAAACAGCAGTCAAACATTATAACAACGTAAACTTCAAATCCACAATTCAATACTTATATCAATTCATTTGTATATGCTGAGAAAAAAACTACCTATTCATCCTAGATTATTCCTCCATTTATCTGTAAACAGCATTATTAGAGAATATAACTACCAAGAACATGATCTCACATTTAAAATCCTTCTTTGTGAGCCACAGCATACCAGTTGCAGTAATAATGGGTCATAGATCACACTTAGCATGACTGTTCTGCAAAATTACTTTATTTCAACTCAGAGGATGTCTTCATTTTATTGCTGCTGAAAAGAGAGAAAGAAAGGGAGAAGAAAGAAAGAAAGAAAAAAAAAAAAAGCGTAGCGAGAGAGAGAGAGAAAGAAAGAGAGAAAGAGAAAGAGGAAATTCAGAAAGAGAAGGAAAGTAGGAAGGTAGGAAGGAAGGGAGGGAGGGAGGGAGGGAAGGAAGGAAAGGAAGGAAAGGAAGGAAGGAAGGAAGGAAGGAAGGAAGGAAGGAAGGAAGGAAGGAAGAAGGAAGGAAGGAAGGAAGGAAGGAAGGAAGGAAGGAAGGAAGGAAGGAAGGAAGGAAGGAGAGAAAAATACTGTTGAAAAAATGCTTGAAATAGATGAAGAATTAAATCTAGAACTTTATTTGATGTTGTCTGATTTCAGAGCAGTAGTCTCTGAACGGGGCTATCATCTGCAGAATACACTTCAGCCCATACTGGCAGATTATTTCAGGTAGTAATGCTAAATGCTGGAGCTTTTATATGAAAAAGTGAAGCAAAAAATCTGTGATAGTGGATAACGTTATTTTAATGGGGCAAGAGGACCTCAGACTAGTGCATTACAGCAGAGGACAGTAGTCTCTTGTGAAGTAGCCTCCCTCCCACGAGGTGATTGCTAATGAAAGACAGACCTACAGCTTTTGTAACAAAAGGAAAAAAGGGGAAAAAAATGGAGCATGAACCATTGACATCAAAACCAGAACTTAAGAAAAAAAAAAAAAGAATAAGGCACTATGCTGAGCAAAACAGGGCTAAAACTCACGAGATGTTCATGTTTCCACTGGATAGATATTCGGCTTGGATACTGTTAGATACCTTGTGAATCCTCAATACAAATTTATATTTTTCATCTGAATAGGTGGACTTGTTCAAGTAGTCTGCTGTTTAGGAAGCTGGAGACAAAATACAACATGCTCCCTTCCAGCATGTTTGAGTTGAAATCAGCTGCTGAGGGAGTCATCACTGTCAGAGGCTTGAACAGCACACAGAAATCCTATTCTCTTTTGTAAGCTTTTTCCTACAATGCCTTTTTGTTGATCTCTTGTTGCATTAAAAAAAATCCTCATAGTTCTACACTCCAACCCCAGATTCTCCTTACTTTTGTCCTAGAACAACTTTCCCTCCATGGTCTAAGCCTCTTCTTTTTCATACCTCCTCACTTCTCTGCTCTCCACAAATACCTGGGGCACTTACAGGCCACGTGTTCCATTTCCTTCCCGGCAGGAGGAATGATGTGGACCTGCTGTTGCTGTGGGTTACCCTGTTAACATATTTGCCTTTACTCCGTGTATCTGAAGTTTTTCAACTAGCTGATAGCAGTGAGGCATGAGCTTCTTACGCTGACCATGCTGAGCTGCCTGGTAATAAATGTGGGCTCCAAGACATGCAGGGATCTGTGATTAAATTGTTAAGGAATAATTTGTTCATATGAAGTGATCAAACTGGGGCTGCCTACAAAACTTTGGTTATCTCCTAATCTTGAGGCATTTGAATTTGCCAACACAGAGTCACAGAATCATGAATAATTTGAGTTGGAAGGGACCCTAAAATGCCATCTAGTCCCACTTCCCTGCAGCGAACAGGAACACTTACAGCTAGAGCAGGTTGCTCAGAGTTCCATCCAGAATGTCTCCAGGGAAATCCACTATATCTATGGGAAACGCGTTCCAGTGTTTCAGTGCACTTACTGTAAAAAAAATTTTTCCTTATATCCAGTCTAACCATGATAAGGTTCTTTCAATATTTGTGATAGGAACTGTTTAAAAGCTTTTAATAAACACTGCAAGAAACTTTTTTGAACAATTGCTTGATCAGGATACAGATCTCATTTGTCAGAGATGACAAGCAGCTGTTTCTTTCGCTTACAAGTATCCCAGGGCCTGGGATACCACTCACAACCTGTATCCCATTGCAACACCAGGAAATTGCTCCTTACTGCTGGAGAAGCTGCTTGGGAGTTCCAGTTCTGTTGAAAGGAAGAATATTTCCCTCTGCAAATGGAAAGAGAAAGAGAAGAAAAGGTATAATGTACTTAATTTCTAGGGTTCCTACCTATGAGAGAACTCAAAGATTAAATCTATGTAATTCTATTTCAACATACCACAGTGAGTAAAAATTAGCTATTTTAAAATGGTAATCTATGGCTATTATAAAATCATTTTAAGTGGCACTTTAAAGTTGCTAATATTTGATTGAAACAGTGTTAAGAAACTTTATTCACCCTTTTCCTGAAGTGATAGAATCACAGAATCACAGAATGGTTTGGGTTGGAAGGGACTTCTAAGATTACCTAGTTCAACCCCCTGCTATAGGCAGGGGCACCTCCCTCTAGACCAGCCTGGCCCTGAACGCTTCCAGGGAGGGTATGTTCACAACCACACTGGGCAACCTAGTGTCTCACCACCCTCACAGTAAAGAATTTCTTCCTAATATCTAGACTAAATCTACTAGTCTAAATCTTCCAGTTTAAAACCATTTTCCCTTGTCCTGTCACTACATGTCCTTATAAGAAGTCCCTCTCCAGCTTTCCTGTAGACCCCCTTCAGGTACTGAAAGGCCACCATAAAATCCCCTCAGAACCTTCTCTAGGTTGAAGAGCCCCAGATTTCATAGGGGAGGTGCTCCAGCCCTCTGAACATCTTTGTGGCCCTCCTCTGAACCTACTCCAACAAATCCATGTCCTCCTTGTGTTGGGAGCCCCAGAACTGGATGCTATTACAGTGACAGTCTTCAGGGACAGGGAATCCACCACATCTTTGGGCAACACATTCCAGTGCCACCCCCAATGTAAAAGACTTTTTCCTTATATCTAACTTAAATCTACCCTTTTTGAGCTTGAAACCATTTTCCCTTCTCCTATCACCACAGACCCTGCTAATAAGTCTGTTCTCTACTTTCCTGTAACTCCCCTTTAGATATTGAAAGGTCATTCTCAGGTCTCCCTGGAGCCTTCTCTTCTCCAGGCTGAACAGCTCCAGCTCTCTCAGCCTGTCATTATAGGAAAGATGTTTCCACCTTGGATCATTTTTGTGGCCCTCCTCTGGACACACTCTAACAGGTCCACATCTCTCCAGTACTGAAGACTCTACATCTGGATGCAGTACTCCTGGTGAGGTCTCACCAGCACAGAGTAGACGAGCAGGATCACCTCCCTCACCTTGCTGGCCACATTCTTTTGATGTAGTCCAGGATAGGGTTGGTTTTCTGGGCTGTGAGGGCACATGGATGGCTCATGTCCAACTTCCCATCCACCTGTACCCCCAGGTCCTTTTCGACATGACTATGCTCAATACTTTCATTCCCCAATTTGTATTGGTAATAGGGATTACCTCGACCCAGGTGCAAGACCTTGCATTTGGGTTTGTTGAACCTGAGGTTCACCTGGGTACGCTGCTCAAATCCATCTAGGTCTCTCTGGATGTCCTCCCATCCAGATGATGTCAACTGCTTCCCACAGCTTGATGTCATCAGAAAATTTGCTGAGCGTGCACTCAACCTGACTGTCAATGTCACTGATGAATATACTGAGGAGTATTGGTCCCTGCACTAACCCCTGAGGGACACCATTTGTCACTGATCTCCATTTGGACATGGAAAAGTGCAAGGCTTTGCACTTGGGCCGGAGGAATCCCAGGCATCCATACAGACTGGAAGGAGTGGTCCTTGAGAGCAGCCCTGCAGAGAAGGACTGGGGGTCTTGATAGATGAAAAACTTAACATGAGCCAGTGATGTGACCTTGTGGCTTGGAAGGCAAATGGTATTCTGGGCTCCATCAGAACAGGGGTGTCCAGCAGGGACAGGGAGGTGATTGTCCCCCTCTACTCTGCTCTTGTGAGGTCCCATCTGGAGTACTGTGTCCAGGACTGGAGCCCCCAATACAAGAAAGACAGAGAACTGTTGGAGAGGGTCCAGAGGAGAGCCACAAAGATGATCAGGGGACTGGAGCACCTCCCCCATGAAGACAGGCTAAGGGAGCTGGGTTTGTTCAACCTGGAGAAAAGAAGGCTGTGGGGTGACCTCATTGCAGCCTTTCAGTACATAAAGGGAGCCTACAAACAGGAGGGGAATCAACTCTATAAAAGGGTTGACAACTGCAGGACGGGGGAAATGGTTTTAAGTTGAGGGAGGGAAGATTTAGGTTGAATGTCAGGGGAAAATTCTTTACAGAGAGAATGATGAGGTGCTGGAACAGGCTGCCCAGAGAAGTTGTGGATGCCCCGTCCCTGGAGTGTTCAAGGTCAGGTTGGATGGGGCCCTGGGCAGCCTGGTTTAGTATTAAATGTGGAGGTCGGTGGTCCTGCATGTGGCAGGGGGTTTGGAGATTCACAATCTTTGTGCTCCCTTCCAACCCTGGCCATTCTGTGATTCTGTGTGACACTGAGCCATTGGCCACCACTCTGTGGACTCAGTCCTGCAGTCATTTCCTCATCCATTGAACAATACACCCATCAACTCTGAATCTTTCCAATTTGGAGAGAAGGATATTAGTGGAGACTGTGTCAAGGGCCTTACTGAAGTTCAGATAGATGACATCATTGGCTCTTCCTTTGTCCATTGATACAGTGACACCATCACTGAAGGCCACCAGATTGCATTTGGTGAAGTCATGCTGGTTCTCCCATATCATGGCATGAATGCCATGACTTTTCAAATATCATTGAGAGAGGCTTGGTGACTACATCAGCTAATTCCCTCAGGACTCTGGAATGCTTCCCTAGTCCCCTCTTTCCAAACCAAATGTTTGAGGTCTGTGTGACTAGAAGTTATCAGATAAGACTCTAAGACCAAGGAAAAAAATAACTACCTCATATATAAAAATATATGTAAAATAACTACAACAGCCTTGTCTGTTGTTTCCAGCTTGCCTACGTCACTCACTAGAGAAGTTACGCCTTCCTTTTTACTTTTTTTAGGTAACTGTAGGAGCCTTTCTTGTTCCTCTCGCCAAGTTTAGTTCAAGTTGGGCCTTGACTTTCCTGACTCTGTCCCTACACAGCCTAGCAGTTTCCTTATACTCTTTCCACAGTACCTGTCTCTGTTCCTACTGCTTGTGCATTTTCTTCTTGCTCTTCAGTTTGACCAGCAGGTCCCAATTCAGCTATGCAGGTCCTCTTACCTCCCTTTCCTGACTTGCTACACCTGGGGATAGAGAGCTCTTGCACTCTGATGAAAGCTTCCTTAACCACAGATCTGAATCTTCATTGTTTTTGCAATTCATTTCCACCTATGATAAAATGGGTGTAACATACTCTGTTGATAATTATTTACAGAGCCCTTTGAAAGGGTGTAAGAGATGAGTGTAAATGATTGCCAGTAACCAGGGTGCGGTGAGAGATGCATTGACCAGGTTCCAGCACTAGAAATAGCTCTTTTTTCATTGTAGGTAATAACTTCCCAGAGAAACATGCCACTCTCATTACTAGTCCTGTGAAAACACATTTTAAAATTATGATATTATTATGTATCACAAAGCTATTTTGCATCATTTATTATTTATTCACTGAGGCCTTGAGAGCACTTGAGTTTCATCCATGCATGCAGAAAACTCACATCCCAGTCCCAAGAAATGTATTAGCTAAGACATTTGCAGTAACTAAACTTGCGTCAGATTTACTTAACAGATTTCTAAATTGATTTAAATAGTGCAAACCGTGCTGCAGTCTATATAAACTTAGTTTTTTGAGAAATTTAGTATTCATGTGTAAAATCAAGTAAGCCGAACAGAGACTCTCAAATATAAGGGTTTTATTATTGTTATAGTGGAGAACTATCTAACATTTGCTAATGAATCACATACAAAAACTTGCAAAGGCAATATTTCTCTGAAAAAATAATTTTTGAAAGAAATAATCTTTTTTTTTTTTTTTTTTTTGGTCTCTAGAAAATCTTTTGTAAAACATTAATTTATCTCATTTATCTCATCATTTTATTGTCAGACTTCATTCAGCTACGGCTGCCTGGGTTTTTACAACCTGCTGGTAAATCTACCCATATTATTTTTAAACCACTTGTCAGTTTTCTCATTCAGGCTGTAAAGACAAAAACTGTCCAGGATGTTCTTGGCTGCCATACAGATGGGCAGGGTAGAAAACCCCTTGATAAAGATATCTAATTGTGCTGTAACCAAAAATAGCTTCTGCCTATGTAAACAGCATACACTGAATGGAAAATCTGAAAGCAGAGAGGTGCTCTGCACCTGTGCTTGGTGCTAATTGGAGCCAAGCCAGAAGTGGTTTGTAGCTATGCAGCCTCTCTGCTCCTCTCTGTTCTTCTTCATACACAAATGTTGGTAGAAGTGAATTTCTTGCAGAAGTGGAATGGACTAAAATCCCCATGAAAACTCCTCAGGCCTGAGTTTCTATTGCTCTACATTGAAAAGTTGAGCTTTCTTAAGAGATAAAATAAGGCAGAGAGAGGAAAAGAAAGATTAACCTGACTAGCTTAACCTGCATGGCTTCACCAAGAGAAGGTCCTGCCTAACCAATCTTGTTGCTTTTTATGACATCATAACTGCTTCAGTGGACAGGGGAAGAGCCACTGATGTCACCTGTCTGTATTCCTTGACATAGTCCCCACAACATCCTTTCCCCAGATTGTAAAGATATGGATTTGATGGGTAGACTGTTCAGTGGAAGAGAAACTTGTTGCGAAATTGCACCCAGAGAGTGGTCACGTATCCATGTGTCAATGTCCAGATGGAAATTGGTGATGAGTGGTCTCTCATAGGGGTCAGTACTGAGACCACTGCTTTTTAACATCTTCATCAGTGACATCAACAGTGGGATTGAGTGCACCCTCAACAAGTTTGCTGGTGACACCAAGCTGTGTGGTGTGGTCAACATGCCTGAATGATGGGATGCCATCCAGAGGGACCTAGACAGGCTTGAGCACTGGGCTCAGGTGAACCTCGTGAGGTTCAACAAATCCAAATGCAAGTTGAGGCAACTCCCACTATCAGTACAAGCTACAGGATGTAAGGATGGAGCACAGCACTGCCGAAAAGGACTTGGGGATACTGGTAGATAGGAAGCTGGACATGAGTGAACCATGTGCCCTCACAGCCCAGAAAACCAACCCTATTCTGGGCTACATCAAAAGTATCTTGGTCAACAGGAAGTGATCCTGCTCCTCTACTCTGTGCTGGTGAGACTCCACCTGGAGTACTGCATCCAGATGTGGAGTCCTCAGTACAGGAGAAACATAGACGTGTTGGAGTGCATCCAGGGGAGGGCCACAAAAATGATCCAAGAGGTGGAACACCTTTCCTATGAGGACAGGCTGAGAGAGCTGGGGCTGTTCAGCCTGGAGAAGAGAAGGCTGCAATGTGGCCTGACAACAGCCTTTCAGTATATAAAGGCAAGCTACAGGAAAGAAGAGGACTGATTTATTGGCAGGGTCTGTGGTGATAGGACAAGGAGAACTGGCTTCAAATTACAGTAGGTGAGATTTAGATTGGATATAGGGAAGAAGTCTTTTACACTGAGGGTGGCGAGGCACTGGAATGTGTTGCCTAGAGGGGATGGATGCTCCATCCCTGGGGATTTTCAAGGTGAGGCTGGATCAGGCTCTGAGAGACTTGATTGGGCTGTGTTGTCCCTGTTTGTTGCAGGGGAGTTTGACTAGATGACTTTTAATTTTCCCTTCCAAATTAAAAGATTCTGTGACACTATGATTCTACTGGGGAGTGGTCAAAAAAGGATAGGTACCAAGGGTAAGTGATGACAGGAGAAAGGCAGGATATAAATTTAGTAGGACAGCTTCTGTCTTAATAGGGATACGCTTTGGACAAGGTATAAAGAAATGCTACTTCTTTACGTGAAAAACATGAATGAGGTCTACGGACATTCCCCAGAATTTACTGGTGCTCACTACAGTGTCCCAGAGAAAACCATCTATGGGTAGCTGAGCTTTGCCTTGCAACTTTAGTTTTAGTCTTCTGCACACATCATTAAAGGAGTCAAAGGCCTTTCCACAAGCCAGGTTCATAGCTGCAAACTGTGACAGTGAGTAATACCTTGTCCTGTTTGTACACAGACATGGGGAGAGGCACATTTGTGTTAGTCTACCGGTGGTCTACTTCTTGATAATGAAATTTCTGGATTTAATAGCAGTTTAATAGACTCCTTTTCATATTACGAAGTACTTCAGCAAAAACTGTAACATTAGAAAATGACTATCAAATGGAATTTAAGCACCAACAAGGGACAAAAAGTGTACAAAGAGTGTTCCAAAAATATTGCCTTCTCCTTTGTTATGTTTGCCCACAACATCAGAAGTGTTTGTTGGTGGTAAGGGAGAAGAGGTTGAACCTTTCCACCAAAATTCATTACATTTTGTTGCTGTGTAACGAATGGCAGCCTGTCAAAATAGCTTCTGACACGCAAGTGAGTATGAAGAAAAGGTGTGCCACTGAATTTCTCCATGCAGAAACATGGTACCCATTGACCTTCCTGGACATTTGCTGAATGTTTATGGAAACCAAACAGTGGATGTCAGCAGTGAGGCAGTGGATGGTGCAGTTCAGTAGTGGCAACAGCAACAGTGGGTCACCTCCACTAGTACAGGTTTTTACACACACAGTATGTGAGTTCTTGTTCATTGCTAGCAAAATTCATAGCTAATTGTGGTGATTATACTGAAAATATTATTGAAAATAGTGCTTTGTAGCTGAGAATTAACTCTATCAAATAGTGTTATTCTGCTATTTGAATCTATTGTAATTTCCATGGAAATAAATAGAGGCATTACTTTCAGAGTGGCCTACATGTAATTTGGAGAGGCGGGGTTCATAACATACTTACAGAGATATCCTGGCCTGATTTTTCTCAGTGTCTTTGCCAGTATTCCATACTCCAGACAGTCTCTGCACTAATCCTTGCACTTCTGATGGAGCTGAGGCTCCCACTCCCCAGCTCCAGGCTCCCTGCCCAGAGCCATGGCCAGCAGATTGCATGGTCTACTCATATTCCTTCTCTTCTGGAATACATGTGACTCTTGCACTCACTGAGTGCAAAAATCAAACTGCACCTTGTGCCCCATCTTGTTGCAAATGCCCTGGATGCCTGCTGGATAAAGTTTGCCTGAGGTATGAGAAGAATAGATCCCAGTACTCAGGGTGAATGTGTGGGAGTGACTGGCTGTCAGTTTGGTCTCATGTGTGTTTACACAGAAGAAAGACACTAGCTGATGAAATAGCCCAATAAACAGCCACAGTCAGAGCTGTGCAAACTGTGAAATGGCACACTTCTGCACGTGTTTGTAGCATATTTTATCTGCTTACCTCCTAAACCTGTTTACAGCAATGGAAATGGCTCCAGCTCTCACTCCCAGGTTTATGGCGGGGGGGGAGGGAGGTGGGGTTGGGGAGGAGGGCAGCATATTCATGGAATGAACACCAGCTGTAAGAAACGACACCCTTGGTATTGAAGGTTTCCTACTGAACAAGGAATATTGAAGATAAAGTAAGTATTCAACAAACGTACAGCAATGGCCATACAAATGAGCAGCTCCCTTGGGTTCATGCTATCTGCCTCTTTGCATTTCCATAGTAGGGGATTGATCTTGCTTCCATTAAGAAAGATGGAAAAACTCCAAGTGCTTTTGGTGGGAGCAAATGCCTTCCTCTATACACTCCAGCCTCCTGGGGTGTATATATTGTACTCTGTATTCAAGCTACGTGCCTGCGTGTATTTCCTATGCAATTTCAGCTTTTATAAACCACCGGAGTTTGCAGTTTGGTCGGCAACGACAATGATGAGTTTTGTTCCAACTGGTGTGTTCCCAGGGAAAGTTTTCATTTTAAAGAAATGTCACTTCCCAATTGAAAAAAAAAAAAAAAAAACAACTGAAAAATTCTTCATTGGTTCTGTATTTTGAGTTAATTCACAGGTTTCTCTTGCCCTCAAGTGCTTTGCATACTCAGGAAATATTGAATCTGTAGTGACCATACACTTCAGTCCATCTTCTGATAGAGTTGAAATACACCAATGTGGGTCCCCATTCCAGCTGGAGAGGGACAAAAAATGGTCCCTGGTCATTTGCTCTTCCTCATCCCGCACAGAGAGTTTTAGCACAGACTTCCAGTTCTTCTGGCTGCTTTTTGAGGCAGAAGTTAGTAACCTTCAGAAGGTCCTCTACAGATGCTGCTGATTCAGCTCTGGCTATTTGTGGACTCTGAAGTTTAAAGTGTAATTCAAATTCAAATTCTAGATTTGCATGTATTCTTGACTTTGTCTTCTTCTACTTTACTTACACTATTCAATCCTCTATGTATATCTCAGTGTCTGGATGCTAACATATCGCATATGTTCCTCATTTAACTCTTCTTTAATTCTTATTGGCATCATGTTTGTAACAAAGGAGAAACAAAACAGTTGCTTTGAGAGAAAATATTTACTTGAGAAAACAAACTTTTCTTTGTAT